CTTTTTGAACAACACGGAATGAGAGATAGGCATACATTTATGCGTGGCTAAATAAAACGCAAAAAAAAAAGTTTTGCATGAAATAATTCTCATACTAAGTACTTTTGCATGCACAGCAGCACAGAAACATGACAAAACAGTGACACAGCAAAGACGAACTGCTGCTCTTGCTGTTTTCAAAAGACGCAAATGAAGATGCAGCTGTTTGTTTGTCTGCATTGCATACAACCATATCCAAATCCATATCCACAGACAACCATATCCATGCTGGCACATAAAACCTAAGGATGTTCCATATTGAATCTAGTTTCGTTATGTAACTATTTATAGTATAGTAAATATTTATATCTATTTTTTACTGAGGATTTGCACCATGTTTATTTGGACTTTATTTGGACTTTGACACATTATTTATTATTTTCTTATTTTTTTTATTTGTTCATTGTAAGTGGTGTTGTTTATAGTAACTAAAAATATATTATTTGGAAAAAGTCAAATTTGCTTCACTGTTCTATTATTTTGTAACATTTGTAACATACCGTATACCGCGAAACCGTCAAACCGTGGTATTGTTTTAGACGATTATCATACCGTAAAAAATTCATACCGTTACAACCCTAGTGGGAAGCCAGGACTTAAACCAGTGATCTTCTTGCAAAAACGTATTAGTGTTGATATGGCCTAACTGTACGTTATAGATTTTGAGAAAACTATCCATTAAAGACTGCATCTACACTACCTGGCAAAAGTCTTGTCTTGTATCCCAGTTGTAAGAGCTACAAGTTATAACTTGACTTCTAGTTGATCATTTGGAAAAGTGTCAGAAGGTTTATTTTTCTGATGAATCATCTGTTGATCTGCATCCCAATCATCACCAATACTGCAGAAGACCTACTGGAACCAGCATGGACCCAAGATTCTCTCAGACATCAGTCAAGTTTGGTGAAGGAGACATCATGGTTTGGGGTTACATTCAGTGTGGGGGCGTGCGAGAGATCTGCAGAGTGGATGATCAACATCAACAGCCTGAGATATCAAGACATTTGTGCTGCCCATTACATTACAAACCACAGGAGAGGGACAATTCTCCAGCAGGATAGCGCTCATGCTCATACTTCAGCCTCCACATCAAAGATCCTGAAAGCAGAGAAGGTCAAGCTGCTCCAGGATTGGCCAGCCCAGTCACCAGAAATGAACATTATTGAGCATGATGAAGGAGGAGGAGTTGAAGATGAACACAAAGACTCTTGATGAACTCTGGGAGTCCTGCAGGAACGCTTTCTTCTTCATTCCAGATGACTTTATTAATCAGTGATTTGAGTCATGTCAGAGATGTATGGATGCAGTCCTCCAAGCTCATGATGGAGTCAGACACAATATTCATTCTGTCTCCACTGCAGCAGGACTTTATATTCTATACTGGACATTTTTTCTGTTCAGTGATGAGACTTTAATCTAAGTAAAGTCAGACCTTACTCTCCTAATGAAATCATTAATAATCAAGACATGATCATATTTTATTGTGCTCAAGTAAGCGTCATCTAGAGGACTTTGCTTTTCATATAAGACACTTCTGACACCAAATGATCAACTAGACGTCAGGTTATTATTTGCTGTTCCCAAAACTTGGATAGGCGACCAGACTTTTGTCAGGTAGTTGTACATGTCCCAAATAGGAACAGCCTGAACTAAAACTGTGTGTGTATCTGCACTGACACTGTATAGTGTTTTTTATTTTTATATATATATTTTTTAGCTTAAACAACACTAAATATTCAATCAGCAAGCATGCAAGTGCCAGGATATGCTTCAAACTTTGAGAACAACAGCTGTATAGATTGCATCTATACATTCTGAATGCCAACAGACACTCTGTACTCTTAATGCAAAGGTTCGGCAATAACATTCAGAGCTTTTTATGCACGGACTTTGGTGTAAACTTGAAGAATAGTGTTAAAATAACCTATCTGACATATGTATAACTGATGAAGGACATGCAGAACTTTCAGGGCTCTTTTTTTTTTTTTAACATCCAAATGTTCTGCATGCATATGAACAGTCTGTACTCTCCATGCACAGGCCAGGACTGAACCTACAGAGCTTTTTGTTGGCTAGTTTTGCTTGTATATATATTTATTTTTGTGCATGATTTTGGATGTAAATGCAGGATGTCTGTTAACCACACTGTCACTCACATTACTCAACGCACTCCATCAGCAAGCCAGTGCATAAGTGACAGGAGATGTGCAGAACTTTGAGATATCCGGCTTGCACACAAATCTCATTTCCACATCTACATGATCCATTCTCTGAAGCATGCATCTGATTGCACGAGACACTTCCACGACCCCATCACATTCAAAAGAGCACACAGCCTATAATCCCGAACACAGCATGTGGACGTGCTGGGAATAAAATATGGAAGAATTCTGCATCTAAGGCTAGACATCATCATTATTTCATGCAGTGACAATGCATGCAATACAGAGATCCTCTTCACTGAACAGCACAGGAGGAATATCATCACTCAACTTCAGGCTGATAACAGTAATGCATGCTAATTAAGTTTCACATCAGGTCAAAGCAGCATCTATAACACAACCTATAGGTCTGTTTTGGGTGGGACTGTACCACTGTCATCTGCTTGGCGATTTTAACAACTCCGGATAGTTTAATATGAGGGTTACACTCACGTTAAATGTGTGTGTTTCAGCCGTGTTTTCCTCCGCAGTTTCAGTTATTGATCAGTCTGAGCCGTTCAGCCGGTCCCGGCGCTGGAGAACCGCAACATTTTCCTCCCGTCCTGCTTTGCTGTGTGTTCTGGGCTGTATTTGGAGTTTGTAGCGGGTCTGCACTAGTATCACTTCAGACTGACGGGAGTTTGAGCCAATGGAGCACCGCACTGGAGAGCAGCGGCGGAGCCAAGATGGGCGGAGAGCAGGAAGTGCAGGGTGATGTCATTGAGAGCCAATCAGAGGACAGTTCGCTGAAACCGGATTAAAGAGACGGGGACGAATGTGAACGCGCTGAAAATGATATAAAAATGAAATAAAAAGTGTATAAAAGTAATAGCTAAAATATTTATAAAAAATAATAAACATAAAAACAATTAATACTAGTTCAACAAAATAAAAAAGTAACAATTACAAAATTACAAAACAAAACAAAAAAACGTTAGAATGACAGGACACAAGTGTGAATAAGGAAAAAAATGGTTACTAAAACTATACATATATATATATATATATATATATATATATGTATATATATATACTATATGTATATATATATATATATATACACGCACACAGTTGAAGTCTGAATTTTTTTAAGTATTTCCTAAATGCTGTTTAACGGAGCAGGGAAATGTTTACAGTATGTATGATTATATTTTTTTCTTCTGGATAAAGTCTTATTTGTTTTATTTTGGCTAGAATAAAAGCAGTTTTTAATTTTTTAAAAACAATTTAATGTCATCATGGCGAATAAAAAATAAATCAGTTATTAGAGATGAGTTATTAACTATTATGATTAGAAATGTTTTGAAAACATCTGCTCTCTGTTAAACAGAAATTGGGGGAAAAATAAACAGGGACTAATAATTCTGACTTTAACTGCACATATATATATATATATACAGTTAAACTTTGGCAAAAAAGTAACATACAATCTGTAGTCACCTAAAAAATAAATAAAACTTAACTAATTGTGTTAGTTACTTTTTAAGGATGCAATGTGAATATAAATGTGCTATGTTATTTTATTGTAATTAGCTTTTTTAAAGAGATAAGGTAGACGTAAAATTGTAATATATAACTTTTTTTTCCCAACACTGAAATTGATTAATTATATGTATATATTATAAATAAATGCTGGTTCGAGCCTTGGCTGGGTCAGTCTAACGAGAGTGTATGGGTGTTGATAGGTTGCGGCTGGAATGGTATCCGCTGTGTAAAACATATGCTGGATAGTTGGCAGTTCATTGTGCTGTGGTGACCTCTGATTAATAAAGGGACTAAGCTAAAAAAATGAATTAATATATATATATATATATATATATATATATATATATATATATATATATATATATATATATATATATATATATATATATATATATATATATATATATAT